GCTCACGTCGCTGGGCTGCTTCCTGAAAGACAAAATTGAATATTAGAGATGCAAAACTTTTCTTAACTCCATCTTAAATCTATGAAACTCTATCCTTAATTGTGGGGTTTTCTTTAAAAAGCACTAACTTTTTCCCTCGTTTGTCAAGGGTCCGATGAGTAAATTGAATCAACTCTCATGTTTGTATGGTAAATATGTAGCAAGCAGCCAGTTAGCTCTGCTCAATAGGTCACAAAATACAGAAATGGCAAATTGTCATCTCAAACCATCTTAGCAATGGATGCAAAACTTGAATTTACAAAAAGAATACAAATATGTACAAGCCTTACACATTTAAGAGAGCTTTTGGTGATAAGGGACAACATTGGTGTTAATTTGATAAATACAAAAAGAGGTGATTTCCACAGCAGAATTTATGAGTTATGTCTAAATCTATCCCTGAGCTGGAAAGAGAATAATCATAATTCCCACAATGTTGAGCTATTCCTTATAATTTCTTATTTCAGACCTCCAGGCGACGTTGTCTCTCAGGGTCCTCCTCATTCATGATTCTCTCCTTCTCGGCTCTCTTCTTCTCCTCCCTGCGAGTCTGAGCTGCCTCCTGGCGCTGAGCGTGAGTCTGCTTCAGAAAGTTCTCCTCCACCCGGGCCCGGTTCCTGTCAGCTTTCTGTTTGCCCTAAATATACAGAGGAGGATAAAGTGAGTAATAGCTACTTAAACCTTCAATCAAAAATTTGGGTGCACCATGTGCCACCAGAGCATTTGAATCTTGCTCACCTCCCTGTTGAGTCTGAGTTTCTTGACTTTATCGATGCTGTAGATCACCATGTTCATGAGAGGAAGCAGAGAGTCCATGTCTTTGGGAGAGGTGTTGCCCATACCAGGCACTACAAACACACACACACCAAAAACATTAAGTATTTACAAAACCCACCAGTAGAGTCAAATAATGGAGTGCAGGAGAGACAGAATGTTCACCATTAAATGTAAACAGCAGCGTCTTCTTGGTCTCAGGCAGCTTTAAGGGCTGACCCTCCCTGACAAGACAAAACAGTAACTATGAGCACCACAGAGAAAACAAGAAAATGTTTCATAACTTGCAGTTGAAAGATTAAAAAGGTGGCGTGAATTATACTCACTCTTGCATAACTTTTGGACCTGAAAATTGGTCCGAGAAATGGATGGACTCGATCTTGTCAGCATTGTTGGTGATGTAATGTACCATCTAAAAAATAATCAAATGGATCCAAAGGCAAACTTGTCAACGGAGAGTTGTATTTAAGTACAGGAAGCTGTTACAAGCCAAAATTTTAAGAAATGCCTCTCAAATGTTCAGAATCCTTTTAGATACTTTTATAAGAATAAGAATGTGAGACAAGGGTCAAAATAAAAAATAGAAGACTTCACCTTGTTGTCCATCACTCCATCTGTGACCTCACCCATCTCACTAAGAATAGACAGTGACTCAGGGAGCCCATACTTGGCCCCGGACTTGGGCTTGTCACCGCAGAACTCACTCTGAGAAAAAAATGAAGAAGAGACGTCAAAATTAAACATAGATTATACTGTCACAGGCGGAACAGAAATAAACAATTTGATTCATTTGTGTGGTTATAACCTTTTATATCAAATGTGGCTCCAAAATGCAGCATCTGTTAAACAAACGTTATAAAGGATATTTACCAAGTCCTGCATCTCCTTCTGAAGTCTTGCCATTGCCTTCTTAGTGCCCACAGCAAAAACAAAAGTGTCCATGTCCTCATCATTTAGAGTCACTTTTATTTGCTACAAACCAGCAGACAGATGTTGTGGGTTAGGAAAAGAGTAACTGTGATAATACTCATATAGTCTATAATTTGAATTCCACTTCAAAGATTCCAAACAGTCAATGTTTGACAGACACGTACTACTTGGTCACCGGCAGGCCTCATCATCCTGGCCAGAACATTGAGCAGGTCCTGCCTCTTAAGAAACTGAAAAGAAAAGAAATATATTACACAACGCTATATTTAACACAATGCACTAAAAAAACAAACACAAACATATCGTAACACAACTCCCATACCTTGAGTTGGATCAGCATGCCTTCACAGCAAACACGTCCAGAGCACCACAGGTTGTAGATGTGTTCATTTTCCTGATTCAGCTTCCCGGTGCTCACTGCTTCTTTACTGGTGCCATCATCACCTTCACAAACAAATTACTGACATTTAACTGACTGCCCCCGTTGAACCATATGGCTGTGACCACAGACGCAGTTGATGTACACAACAGGGGAAAAAAACGTGGAAGAACTCACCCACTAGTGCAAAGTTGCTCTCTAGAAGTTCTCTGTGTGAGTTAAACCAGGCCTGTGCGAGGCGGCTGTTTTTATTCTTGCCAATGATATAGTTCATGATGTAGGCCAGCAGGCCAGTCACCATCAGAATCTCCATGTAGTAACTCTCCCAGCTGTTCTGCAGATGTGCAGGAACCTACAGAGAAACAGTGGGTGGTGCATCAGTATCAGTGTGAATAAGGTGATGTTAGATTATGACAGTTGAAATAAATTGCACAAATCCTATATAAGAGCAGCTACAAACAGGCAACCGAAACTCTTTGCACATGTAGAGCCTAAGCAGATCACAATTAGCTCGGATCTCTACTCTGAGAAGATTTTAACAATAAGACCAGCTTACTGTGTGGATTATCAGAGGGTCCTTCATGGAGTGGCTGGTCTTGTCCTTGTCTCCAATCCCCTCAAACTCTTCCTGGTCATAATTGCTGTACATATCTTGATCCTGTGGAAACACGAAATTAGTTTTGCTAAAGTTTCTGTATAAATTAATATAACAGCATAAATATATTGAATAACAATTTATTACCAAAACTCTTCCCATGAATTAAGATGTAAACAAAGATTTAAAAAAAAGGACAAACCTGTGTTTCAGAGTCCTCAAAGCCATCCTGGCCATCCTCCAGTTCCACGGTGGCTTCATCTTCGTCCTCATCCTCATCAGGCTGCGAGGACTGGGAGACTCGGGGCGGAGGGTCAGTTTCGGCCTCAGCTGCCTGATCCTCATTCATGTCCTCAAACTCAGCAAAGTCATTGTCATCGAAGTCTGCTATGTCCTCGCCATCATCAAAGTCATCATTGTAACGGCCTCTTGTGACAGGAAAGACCAGAAGGAGGAGCAGCGCAGGTACCAGGAGGAGATAAGCACTTCGCATTGTCGGACCTGAATGAATGAGAAATAGCAGAGTGTAAAAGAAGAAACGAAAATAAGGGTGTTTAAAGGGCAACAGGGGAAGGTCATATCGAGAGATTTTACATGTAGAATACAACTACAAAAAAAAAAATCCATACAGTGTTTGAAAATAAGGATGTGAAATAGGTCAAGGCACTACATGTTGCAACTTGCACAGGATTATGTTCATGTTCCAATGACTTTGAGGCACTTGCAATGATTATATGATAGAAACCTAAAAAGTGTGGTGATTATTTCAACCTGTTATCACTTCAGGGCACCTTGTGTAATATTTAACATTGGTCCAAACTGGGCCACTGACAGTTAAACTGTGACAGAGTGCAGGTTAAACAGGTCATATAGCACAGCAACAAACCAGTCCCTGCTCACACAGTGGGAGTTCACGTGATGACCCCCAAAGACCAGATGATCCCTGCAGATAGAGACTCACTAGCAGGAATAAATGAGCTCTAGTACAACTCCACTGAGAAACATTGTTTAAATGAGAACTCATTTCCAGTGGTGTGCTGGTGTGAAGCTATCAATAAATCCACAGGAGATATCGTGTTGACCTAGTGCCACTGCTGGGGCAACATACAGACTTAGCTAAGTAGCCGTGTGTGGCTAAATCCGGTTAAAATTCAACCAGAAACCCGCACCAACTAACTTCAGCTAACACTGGCGACATACTTGCTAACAGGCTAAGTTAGCGGATAGTGTTTGACTTTGCTCGCTTGCGTAGTGACACTTGAGACAAAGCTAAAGGATATATAAAGTAGGATTAAACCACAAGCTGTATATCACATTGTCCGACCCATCCCCCAGCACCCTCTCACTTTATTATTAGCTGTTAGCCAATCTGGCATTAGCATGCTAGCGGTGGCTAAGTAGCACGGGACCATGATGCGAGCAACGCACCTCCGATCCTGAGCGGAGAACGGCCGTTTGTCTCACTGACACGACTCAGAGACGGAGGCGCAACAAACAACGAAATGACAACATGTCTACGTGACCTTACCTCGAGAGTCTCTGTCAGTAAACGTGACGCTGGCTGAGCTACGCCTGAACTGTCCTTGTAGTGACGTCCAGGAGGCACGGGGATATTCTTTCAAAGTAAAAGCATGGTAGCTAGCTGGTGTCTCGAGCCGGATATCACGTGACCACCGTCTCTCCTGCGTAATTATCAAGTTTTATTTTGCAGGTTTCTACCGGAAGTTTTGTATGCTGCCCTATTTGATTATAAGTCTGTAGTGCCGCCGGTGGTCATAGCGCGTAACTACAGCTACGACAGTTATTACAGATAGAGTTAAATATAATTCATGATCATAAATGTATATGTGGACATGTACAAACCAGTTGTCACAATAATTATAAATTATACTCATTATAATGAACGTAATATAATACTCCAAACAGACATCTAGGACACATAACACTACTTACTGACAATGTAATAACAATAGGACTGCAACAAATAAAGGAAATTGTATAGCATTCAAATCAAATTGAGATGGGAACCGAACCAATGATATATAATTAAATAAACAAATAGATAAATTAAAGTATTTAATTTATAGTATAATATGATTGGAATATTATGCTTGCATATGTCTTATAAAGACACTTTCATTCATTATCTGTTTATTTATAGAATCATCATTTTTGAGACTACATTTCAAAAGTAAGACCTTACTTTTAGGAAAATCTGACGATTTTATAAAAAAAAAAGAAAAAAGAAAGAAAAAGAAAGAAAACCCCAAACCGGAAGTCTCTTGTTCTTAGTTCAACTTGACAGTTATTCTGAGCATAACGAAGCGATGCAACTCTTTGTTGGGTGAAGTGGTGAGAAATCTTCCTCCGGAACAACATTCGCTGGATTAAATGCTCCTCTTCACATCGCAGGCTGACATCTGTTCTTGTCAGTTGCAGTAACGGGACATAGTCTGCGCAGAAGAGCACTTATTTCATAGTTAGCTAACGCTAGCGTGCTAGCTGCAGTTCGGGGGGATGTCGCTCCACGGTAAAAGAAAAGAAATCTACAAATACGAGGCGCCATGGACGGTGTATGCGATGAACTGGAGCGTCCGGCCCGACAAACGCTTTCGACTGGCACTCGGGAGCTTTGTGGAGGAATACAACAACAAGGTGCGTAGTGTGGTGTGGATGTGGCCATTTATTAGCCGCGGCTAAAGATGGAAGCGTTGGCGAGCTAATGCTAATGCTAGCCGTCCAGCGCAGCACTTCGGCGTAAAATCCCAGTTTTGTTGTCACTCCACACTAACACATAAGTACCCATGTGTAAAAATGCACCAGGTGTAGTTCGTGTTTTTAGTTCCACTGACCCGTATCAACGTCATTCTCAGGACATGTTATTCCCAGTCCTCGTTGCTCAGTGAAAAGTCATTGGACTCGTGTTAAAACTGGAGGTAATGTGTTTGCGCCTGCACAGGTTCAGCTGGTGGGTCTGGAGGAGGAGAGCTCAGAGTTTGTCTGCAGGAACACGTTTGACCACCCGTACCCCACCACCAAGATCATGTGGATACCCGACACCAAGGGGGTTTACCCGGACCTGTTGGCCACCAGTGGAGACTACCTGCGCATCTGGAGGGTAGGAAGTCTGCTCTGGAGATGTGTATTATGTCTCTCATGTTCATCGGATCCCACAGAAAGATCAGAACAAACACGTGGCAGGCAACACCAACAAGCACTGTCTGTTTTGTTGAAGTCATAAAAAGCTGTGCAGTCGACAGCCACTGCTTTACAAAAGCTATTTAAAGCACACTGCAGCATTGGAGCACACATTCCTTCATAACCATGGACATACTCGCTGTCATTTATTCTGTTTCATTCATTTACCGTTTGGCTGCTAGAAATATTCTCCAACAAATGTGTTGTGTAGACTTGTTTTTGATCAAATTTGAAATCATAGTCTTATTCTTGAATGTCTTGTGTGTCCCTGTGGACACCAGTTTCAACAGACATAGAATCAGCATTTAAAAAACCAGGGGATACTTTTGTGCAAAAGAGACATATCTGTCAGTTATCGATCACACCCTGAAGTAGTGATGGTGTTTCGGGGATAAGATCATTTTGTGCACTGCTTCAGCTTGGCCAGATAGTTGTGAAATGGTCATATTGACTTGACATCGGTCATAATTCAATTCCTTTCAATTGTCTTTCAGGTCAGCGACACAGAGACGCGCCTTGAATGTTTGCTGAACAACAACAAGAACTCAGACTTCTGTGCACCCCTCACCTCTTTTGACTGGAATGAAGTTGATCCCAATCTGCTGGGTAAGAAATCCCCTGTAATGATTCATAGTTAGTTAGAAAGCTAGAGCTTAATCCTTCATGGATGAAGTTTGAGTTTCTAAGGTATGGATTCAATCTGCAGGCACTTCCAGCATTGACACCACCTGCACCATCTGGGGACTGGAGACCGGTCAGGTGCTAGGGCGAGTTAACCTGGTCTCTGGACATGTGAAGACTCAGCTGATCGCTCATGACAAAGAGGTGTGTGTCTGTCTGCACTGCAAATTGAAGTGTGGTTGTGCTCACAGCCTAAAAGAACATTTACTTTAATGTCTTCCTGTGTGTTTGTCAGGTGTATGACATTGCGTTCAGCCGTGCAGGAGGCGGCAGAGATATGTTTGCCTCTGTTGGGGCTGATGGGTCTGTCCGCATGTTTGACCTCCGACACCTGGAACACAGCACCATCATCTATGAAGACCCCCAGCACCACCCGCTTCTCCGCCTCTGCTGGAACAAGCAGGACCCCAACTACCTGGCCACGATGGCCATGGACGGCATGGAGGTCAGTTTGCTGTGACTGTCTTTTTGAATTAAGATTGAAAAACCATAAAAAAAATGCATATTGCTGAGAAAAAAATCCATGTAAACATAGTAAAATGTAAAGATCAATCAAACAATCACATTTAAATTTTATAACCAATATTTCCAATTTGCTGCATATGGCACAACTATCTGCACAAGGTGCAACATCTGACCCGAGCTCCAACTAGAGTGAGGAAACGCTAACAAAAGACCAGGGGGAAAAACACAGAAACCTCAGAGAGATCCCTCTCCCAGAATAGACAGAAGTACAATAGATGTGGCTTGTAACAGAGCACATCTACAAAATAGCAATATTTACAACATTCATCAGAGGAATGGAAGGAAGATCATGTGGTAAAATCAAAAGCTCCAAGCAACAGCTCTATATCTAATCTATCATTTTTTGTGTGTAATAGGTGGTCATCCTGGATGTACGTGTGCCGTGCACACCAGTGGCTCGGCTCAACAACCATCGCGCCTGTGTTAACGGCATCGCCTGGGCCCCCCACTCCTCGTGTCACATCTGCACTGCAGGTAAGCAGACACTGAGGCCTAAAGGGGCACTTTGATGAAACACCACGAGAGGGTGGAGGGTTTGTAGCTTTAGATACTGGACCAGAGAGACATAAAATACAATCCAGACAGATTAGCCTCTTGGAAATGAACAAGGGAGCTGTGTTGTTTCTTATACTTTTCTCCTAATGGTCTTCTTCCCTCAGCTGACGACCACCAGGCCCTGATCTGGGACATTCAGCAGATGCCACGGGCCATTGAGGATCCCATCCTGGCCTACACTGCTGAAGGGGAGATCAACAACGTGCAGTGGGCCTCCACACAGCCAGACTGGATCGCCATCTGCTACAACAACTGCCTGGAGATCCTGCGTGTCTAAGGCTACGGACACTTCGATGAAGATTTGAAGGAGTGTTTTGTTTCAGATTTGGACTTGTTTTTTTCCCCCCTCATCCCACTTCAAGACGAGGATGAGGTCATGAGTGGACTTTCTGAAGGTGTTCGGAGTATCACATACCAACTCCACAATAACCTGTTTTACATTTTCCTCCACGTCTTTACTTCATTCTTCTATTAAGTGTGTTTATGCTCTTATTTATTTTGCTCACAAGGTAGTGTTCAGCATCAGCACAGCAGCTAAGACGATTGAACTCTGAGCTGTTGTCTTTGAAAATCCAATCTTTTTATACTCCTTGGTGTGATTTCAGCCAGATGTGAGATTATCATAAAGGGTTTAGATGTCGTGTGTTTCATCTGTTTGATTTGTAAAGGTTGATTAAAAACTACTATAGGTGGCAGATGTCCTCTCGAATATGTATGAATATGTTGTAGCCTTATTGTGGACTCATACCATATTATTGCTGATTCAAAGATCAGTATATTTTTGTTTCGTTAACCTCTGTGGCAATTAAAATGTTCTGGTATCCTCTCTCCACATAATTGTATTCAGGCTCTAACTTGTGACCTTTGAAACTTTTAAAAATTGTAAAAATTACCAGAGGGGGCTTCATATCGTCACTGCGGTGGTGTCTGTCATCATATAGTAAGTTGGGCTGTTGATACTGTGAGTCAGCCGTGTACAGCAACACTGAGAACCTACCAGAGCAATGTTGTTCAGTCTCCCACCTTCCTAATTATCTTCTTCTTCTTCTTCATCATTTTATTTGTAGAAGATTGTGCTTGGAAAGCTGCATTTTCTTTGTGTTAGAGTGCTTTGTGAAACGAGAGGAGAGCGAAACATCTTTCTAACTGCGTCTGCCTCTCTTTTTGTTGTTTTCAATAATTAAAGGGTCATGTCCTTGTAGCATGCCATTACAAGGCAAAATGTACATACATATAAATATATCAACGCGAGATGTTGGTAAGCCAAGTGTTCATGTTGTAGCTTTTTTCATAAAGTTTATTATTGAATTTGCTCTAATAAATTGTATTCCTCCATGTCTTAGGAACAAACCTGTTGATGTTTGGCTTCATTTTGTTAAGTTGCAAGTGGTTAAAAGGTCACATTGATTTTCCTCTTCATTTGGGAGTTAAGTGATGTCACCATGACACTGCCAAATAATACATTTAAGGAGAACACAAAATACCTGGATTTAATATATTTTAATATCGGCGCATACTTCCAAACACTGATACTGATGTGTCTGTGAAAGGCTCCTATCTGCCAGGTTTGTTTTTCAGCCAATGCATAAACTGGTATATTATTGTGTTGAGTAAATACTTTCACTCAGGTCAACATTCAGAAAATAAAACCAATGTGGACTCCTGTTGTAAATCTGCATTGTCTTTAATCTAAAAAAAGATAAATAACAGGAATTTGTGCTTCCAGAAACAACATACAGAATTATAAATGCTTAAAAAGGCATTACATTCACCTGGTTCCATGGTTGGAACTGTGAAACCATCTTTACGAAGGACGCCCTTGATTGACAGTTACCATTCACAGAACCCTCAACAGTGTTAAATATGACGGTCCAGTACAGTATCTGGTCCAATGTGAAACCATGTGACCAGGCCACGAAGACATCCGACACATTTGAGCAGAACGGTGCAGAAACAGAAAAAAGAAACGGGGAAAACCGAGCAAAGCAGCCATGATGGACCGCCCATGTACCAGTGTGAGTGTGAAGTTTCTCTGCTCTGCTTAACTGTGCATGTTGTTGAAACCCTCTCGAGTACAAATGTCACACTCAGCAAGAACTGCTGAGTTGAAATGTCAGAACATGAAATATGAGATGAAAATTGTTATTCTTTCAAACAGCCTTGAACCTCCATCGTTCACAGTTATGGTTACTGATATTTTTCTGTTTTTTTAGAAATAAAAACATTAAAACACATTTAAAACAACAGAGGTTTTTACACTCATAGTAACGTATGGCTCTTAATGTAACTAACACATCTCTAATATTATGAAAATAATTTCAGTACAAGATAAATGTTTTTTTCTATAATCTAATTGTGCAACTCTTTTACAAAGTGAAAGCAGATCATTCTTCACACGTGAAACACAGTAGTCCTTTTCATTTCACCTCTCTTCAAGGAAACCTCGGCCTAGGATGCAGTTGACTGCCTGATGTACAGTATGTGTGTGTTCCCGCGCTTACTCTCAACTCATGTTTCATCATTTTCCCGGCCCAGCTGGGCAAGAATAATGTCTTCATTCAGGAGTGAAGGGATGCTGGGGCACAAAACCACAGCAGCCTATGAGGGCACCATTGAGTCCTTAAGAATCAGGAGGCACTCCAAAACCTCAGTGAAGGGGGAAGGCGATGTTTCCCATGCTATTCAGCATCATCTGAAGAGGACAGAGAAGATTATAAGGAAGGTAGAAGGAGGTAACCGTCTAGGTGAACATGTGGCCATCCCGCCCAGGCTTTTTTGCTGGTGGTGATGGAGTTCTAGCTGCCTGGCAAGACAGAGTCAGAGACATGCCTCTGGATCTCCTTCATCTCGGTGGAGGTCTCCAGGTGCTCAGGGAGGGAGGGGAAGCGCTGGCTGCCACATAACAGTCCAGGAGGCGCGTGGATCCCCAACAGTTGAGGAGTGGCGAGGTCCATGGTGGGCAGGTGTGGTGGGTCCGCCTCTGGTGACATTGACATGGTGTCATCTGAGGCCACAGTGAGATGGATCCCACTCGACAGGGAGTCCTTGGATTTGTGCTCAAAGTCAGAGTCTGGACTCTGGAAAGACAAAGAGGGATACATTCAGACAGGACTAGGTGCAGTACACGTAATAACCCGATGAATTCCCCCTCCAGCCTTTGTGTTTCATAAAAAACAGAGTGAGAAAATTAAGTTGTTGCTATTACGGCCTGGTTTTCATGAAGGTTTAAATATCAAACTGGTGATTACTGGGGTTTTCAGTCTGGAAAAAATTATGACATGGTCATGTTTATGTAGCAAAATATGTAAATATTATCATTCTCATTATATTCAGTTTTTTTTATAAGGTTTCCAGTCATGAGTCATAATGAAATGTCAAAACACTAAATCATTCTTCAATACTGTAGATAATAATGGTGCATGTCTTTATTTCTAAAAAACTGAAAATGTCAGATACTATTTGGCAAAAATGTAGAAGAAAAATGCTCCTCTGACATTTAAGTTATTCCTTGATCTAAAACTGTCAGAGCAATTAACTATAGACAGTCAGAATTAGTGTTATTATTATTTTTTATGTAATATTCCTTTTGGATTGAAATTGAAAAACAGATTTTTGTTTGATCTACAAAATGAATCCAATTTGATTTACATCATTCTGATTTGAAAATCACACATTAAAAAAAATTTACAATCCACATTACAGTCAAGTTGTGGTAACTACTTGTGTGTACACTCAGAACCTGCAGCAGTGAGGCAGTGCTGTCGATCTGTACCAGCGGGACTGTGGGGACAGTGTGAATTGTTGGTGGTCCTGTGCTGTACAGGGTGGTGGGGTGAGGTGGGTGAGGGCTGGGGGACACGGCGCTGTAGGCTGGAGGCACTGGGGCCATCTGTCGCTGGAGGAGCTGCAGGATCACGTTGATATCTGCCGTCATACGTGTCTCCAGCCTGGCAGAGATGAAGGGAGATGTGAAATGTGACCTGATGAAATGATTTATCTTCACGATGAGAAATCACACTGTTTAAATTGTATTTGTGTTTTCATGCAGGATGGAGGGCTACGTTATATTTTTACAGTGAGCAATCTGCTCTTTCAAAAATGTCCACTAGGCTTCTCTGTTGCTCTCTCCACAGTGTCCCTCCCTGTGACACATGTATAAGCAAACAGGCAGTTTACAGGATGTGCATTGAAACATCTTTGCAGATATCTTTTCCACATTTTTCAGTGTCACCTTTGACCTTTCTTATAATTTATGTATCTCCGTTCTCCTGTTTCCTCCATTTCTGTCATCCACACATGCATATCAGATAATTCACACCACATAAGCAACCAGCTGGGAAACGTTACACCAACACAGCAGGGGAGGGAGGAACAGCCAGAAACACCCAAAAGATAAACACACTCCACTGATAGTACAGGATTACTCAGCAGAGGTATTTCTTGCCATTACAGGGGGTATAGCTCAGTGGTAGAGCATTTGACTGCAGATCAAGAGGTCCCTGGTTCAAATCCGGGTGCCCCCTCATACCTTTTGACTCCCACACAAAATATTGACTGACCGATTTAGCTGTGATTGCAGCAGCTCCAGTCTTGATTCCAGCTCACTGGGCCGCTCCACAGCGCACGGCGGTGGGTGGAAACTGGCCCTGACTGCTGACGTCTGTCTCTGGCTTTCGGAGAACTGGCTGGATTTGCGGCCCTGCCAGTAGCCGTACAACCCTGACACGCTGATCGGTGCTGCTGCTGTGCAGAAAGAGCAACCTGTCAGTCACAATCCTTTTTATATTTCTTTCCATTATATCCAGTAAACGTAGTTGTGTTTTGGACCAAATAGTTTAGTGGATTGGATAGTCTGGACATTTTCCAACTGAACAAGACTGTATATGTTTGTCTGCATCATTGGCTGCTGTTATGTCTGTGTGAATCTGTTGGTTTAGAATTTTAGCTTTCCAGTGATGTATGACATTAACATAAACTCACACAGTGTTTCTATAAATGGATGTGGAGTTGACATGTTAAGTGCACTAATGTACTCTCTTAACAAAAAAACATAAATTAATAAATGAATGAACAATGAATGAATAATTCAAAGAGGTAAGGGAAAGAAATCCATTTCATTAACTTGGAATTTACAGATCATCCCTATATTAAAAAAAGAGACTCTGATTTTTAATAAATTATTCGAATATATGAAAGCTTCTCTCATTTCATAAAATACACGAGGCCCCTAAAATATCTCGAGAAATATGGAGCCATCTGATGTTGCGATAGTGGAGAAAGACACAGTAATAGTGTGTTGGTAAAACTGAGAATGTCAAGTGCTAAGATTGAACTACAATTTGAAAATGATTTTTGTGCACATCGAGCCTCCTGCAGTCCGTCCACACATGACTGTTCAAGGTTGATTCTCTACCTGAGAATGGTGGTCCTCCGTGGTCTATGGGGGGTCCCATCCCAGCAGAGGGGCCACTGTGAGGCAGGATGTTAACTACTGCTGGGGGGTAGTCTCTGGTGTCACCTCTGGGGGGGTACAGCTCCCCTTTGCTGTGTCCCGTGGGTTTCATCTCCTCATCGCTAGACTGTGAACAGATACTGGCGCTGCTGCAGAGGTCCTCCCAGTGGGATCCTGCCATCATGCTCTGGTGGTGGTTTGCCATTGTGCAGGACTGATCAGGGTAAGAGTCCTCACGGTCCATCCCGTCTGTACAGACAGAATCAAAGGACAGCGGCATAAAGTAAATACAGAGATCAGACATCCAACAGAAATGTGGAAATGTATTAACCCTCTTAAACTCTGCCCCTAACTCACCTGGACGGTTTCGACGGCGCAGGGAGCTTCTCCGATGCCTTGTCCGGCGGTAGCCACATTCAGAGTCCCTGCTCGGGGTTGGCTGGTTTATTCTATCTGCCTGAGACATATCAGCTTCAGTAATTCAAAAACGCATAACACACCTCATCTCACAACATGAAAAGAAGGCCTTAGTGAGAGATGTGTTGAATGTGTACAAATTATTTGCACCGTTTAAAACTTTCTGTCATACATTTAGTCAGATAACTGGTTCAAATGTTGTTCCGAAGCCTTAAAACACAGATACTATGAATGCAATTGCTTTTATAATGTTTATTTTAATATAGTGTTTAACACTGTCCTCTGGTGGAACTCACATCTCTCAGGTTGAAGGTGATCTCCAAGTTGTTCCAGAACATGTCAGCAAAGTCGGGATACATGTCCAGCACTTCCAGCAGGTCATCTCTCAGGATCTTATGCAGGTCGCAGTAAGTCAAAGCTCTGACGTCAGCGCTGGACTTCCCCGGTCTGCCATAGAGACTGATGGGTTCACCAAAGATGT